AAGTGTAGGGGTTCGTTTATTGAACCGCGTCGTCAGCGCTATGCTGCCCTAAAAGAGTCCGTTTGTAAAATACTATTGGTTTTGTTCATGACTTATTTATTTCACAGAAACTTAGCTGAGAAATAGGACTTTGTGCAGTGTGTTTTGTATAAAAAAAGCTTTTCAGTGCATATTGGTCTGTTTATATTTAGTTTTATTTGTTTATTTTGTTGTTACAAAATGGCTACAGTACTATGGATTGTACCAGTAAAGACTTTAATTTTGAGGATATTTGTTTCTGTAATTGTTTTTTTTTTTTTTGGAGTGTGGTTTTTGAAGGGTTACTAATGATATAAATTTAATAAGTTTTGTTTTATTAAGGAAAGACATTTGGAGCCACAAAAGAGTGAGTATTTTGATTGTTGGTTTCAACTTTTTTTCATTCATTCATTCATTTTCTTCGGATTTTCCGGGGCAGCAGTCTCAGGAGAAAACCTCAGACTTCCCTGTCCCCAGACACTGATCCCAGGTGGATCCTGAGGCGTTACCAGGCCAGCTGAGAGAGGTAGTCCCTCCAGTGTGTCCTGGGTCCTCATTGAGGCCTCCTCCCATTGGGACATGCCTGGAACACCTCCCTAGGTAGGCATCCAGATGCCAGAGCCACCTCAGCTGACTTCTCTCGATGTGGAGGAGCAGCGGCTCTACTCTGAGCTCCTCCCGGATGACTGAGCTCCTCACCCTCTCTATAATTGTGTGCCCTGCCACCCTTCAAAGGAATCTCATTTCAGCTGCTTGTATCCGAGATCTTGTCGTTTCAGTCATGACCCAAAGATATGACCATAGGTGAGAGTTGGAACACAGATTGACTGGTAAATTGAGAGCTTTGCCTCTCAATTTACTGAATGTCACGTTCCATCCTTTGTGAACTGAACCCCAAGATACTTGAACTCCTTCACCTGGGACTTTCCTCCAACCTGGAGATGGCAAACCACCTTTTTCCGGTGAGGCACATGGGCCTGGGACTTGGAAGTGCTGATTCTCATTCCAGCCAGGTCACACTCAGCAGCAAACCGCCCCAGAGCATGCTGAAGATCCATGTTCGATGAAGCCAACAGAACTACATCGTCTGTGAATGACAGGGATGAAATATACTTTTTTACTTTTGAATATTTATTATTAAATGTTTAAAAATTTAAATATTATTAAACATTTAACCCTCTAGTTTACTGTTTACATAAGTTACAGTTGTCAAATCTGCTAGACACATGACACAAGTGACATCAAAGATGGCGCTCATGAGAGGAAAGTGCCGTCCGAGATTTCCATCGAAAGTCAACATTTTTCTCAGCCTCCGTTGTTTATCTTGACATATTTCACTTTAAAGACCAGGAAAAGGAATTATTCTTTGCCATAAAAGTGATATAACTGAACATACACACAGGAGCCTGATAAAAATACTTGTTTTTAGGGTAAAGTTGGTTTTATATCTGCACATTCATTCAGTGACAACTTGTGACATGCTGCTAATATTGTTTACTTTCAATATTCAACCTATATTCAAGCAAGCTTGACAATATATCATTAGCACTATTTATTTCACTGTGAACAATGCTGTTCTTTGATAGTCATTGGCTGCTAATATGATTTTCCTATTTGCAGAGAACACTTTTCTGAAATTATATTATTAAGGAGAAAATCTGAATGTGTGAATATGAATCCAACTTTACCTCAATGTACAAGAGGAAAGTTTTAGACGGCATTTAGACTGATTTAGGCATCTAATCTCTTCATGTTTCATTCTAGTCAGGTTTTGGAGGTGATAGGCCCCCACCATTTAAGGCTTGACCCCCCCTAAAGGATGTCAGAAAAAGGTGTATAAGGGGGCCAGCCCTTTAATAGTGAGAAATAGGCTTTTTCTGATCTGTATCCTAAATAATAATATGAATAATTTAACCACTAGATAATATGAATGCATATTACCACCCCTATAATGGTTCATACCATTGTGAATGCATTTTTTTTAAAGAACCTTTTCTAGTAAAAAAAAAAAAAAAAAAGCTGTTTATATCTAGATATAGCCCAAACGTAGGTAATTAGACGGATAGTTTTTATAGTTTGACTGCTTCTACCATACTAGTCAATCTTAGTTAATAGTAGTTGTTGTTTTCCGCCACTAGAGTGCAGCACATTCAGCTGCTTTTGTCCTCGGTTTGCGTGGTTGTGCTATATGTGGGTTGTGACCTGAAAAGTTCTCAAATGCACATTATTTATTGATGTTTTATGGGAAGTTGGTCATGAGGCTGTGCTAAAAACGCCAGATACTTTCTCTCAAATATCTCTTCTGTGTTCATTTCACTGTCATGTGCTGAAATAATTTTTTTACAGATCTTAAAGTCTTTGTCCTGCTTAAAATTAAGACAAAAGTTTAGTTTCTAACGGATTTTTTTTTCAATTTTCTGTCGTTAAAGTGCTTTAAAGGTTAAATGTTTGTTTGTTTTTTTACCTCAGCGCTCATTAATCTCAAAATGGCTGTCAATCAAAGCAAATAAGGCGGAGCGTTTCTGTAAACAGGAACCAAACGTGGATTTTTTCCCGCAACACTTCAGTTTTTAACGGTGAAACTAAAGTAAGATGTCTGTATCTTGTTTCATTATGCTTTGTAATGGAATATAACATGACAGATCGTAATATGAAGCAAACTACAGGACTTTTTAGTAATTTTTTTGTCTGTTTTGATTTGAAAGCGAAGACATTCTAAAAAAGTTTTCGTGGAATTCTATTAGAATGTGACGTGAAGAAACATTCCATTTAATCTACAATACAAACATACCTCAAGATATCTTGTATTCTTTTAAATCTAATTCAGTTTTTGTCTTCATTTCTTTTATTCAATTCCAACTAAAGCAAACATAGTCTAATTTTCATAACCCTTTAACTACCCCACCAAGCAAAAAATGTTATCAAAAATATCAACTTCTACCAAATGGTTGATGTCAGTTTATGTTAAAAGTACCGGAATTAATACATAAACTATGAAAAATATGAAAATATGACGCTTAAGACCAATTTATTAAAAAAAATATTCATAATAAAACATTGAATGAAATATTGAATACTAAATCACCTTTTTTTCCAAGTATGTCATAAAATATCAGATTCTTATTTTAGATATTTTCTTGTTTTTTTTTTCAAAATCAAGTGTAGTAATAGTGCAACAGGATTATGTTTGATTTTTTTTTTTTTTTTTTTTGTAAACCAGCAATGCTGTGTGTTTAAGCCATTATTTAAAACAGTCATTCTTTAAATGACTTTAATAGTCATTTTTTAAAACGGTAAAAACATGGTCAACTATTCGGTAGAGAGGAAGTCAAAAGGTTAAAGTTCAAATACAGTAACAAGGATTTATAGCAATTTTTTGATTGATTTCACCTATAGCGCATGTCTTTGGACTGTGGTGGGAACCAGAGCACCAAGAGGAATAAAAAGTCTTCCTTAAAGTCCTTAAAAAGTCTTGAATTCACTACACCTTATTCCAGCTGATTAGCCGCTTATCTCAGCATATTCATTGTATTTATGTGGCTTTACACAATCAAATTGCCTTTTGGAATAATTTCTTACAATTATCAGATGATATAGCATGCTGTGTGCACTTAATTGTGCCCACAAACCATTCTTGTGGCCTCCATTTCTCCATTAAATTTTGACCTTAAAACTGTTTAAAAAATTCAAATTAAAAACTGCTTTTTTTCTCTAGCTTAAATCAAACAATTAAGACTTTCTCCAGAAGAAAAAATATTAGCAGACATGCTGTGGAAATTTCCTTGCTCTGTTAAACATCATCTGGCAAATATTTAAAAATCAAAGGGGGTTTATAATTCTGACTTCAACTGAATATATACACCCAACTAAATGTTATCTTTTCCATTCTGGTATTACTATTGCTACTATTACTACTACTATACTTTTATAATTATGGCTGTGTAAATAACCTACAGTTTTCAAAAATATTAAAATAGAAAAATACAAAACTATTAAAAGAATACAGCTGTTCTGTGTCAGTTAAATCAGTTGACTGTTGAAATTAAAAATTTTAACCCAACTGGTTGAGTTATTAATGTAGATAACCAAATAAAAATATATATCCAAATAAAATAAATAACCAAATAAAGGTTAAACATGACCAAACAAAGGACCAAATATTTAACACAACTGGTTAAGTTATTATATATATATATATATATATATATATATATATATATATATATATATATATATATATATATATATATATATATATACGTGTGTGTGTGTGTGTAATATCTACATTTACATAAATATTTACAGTTGAAGTCAGAATTATTAGCCCCCCTTTGAATTTTTCTTTTTTTTTTGTTGTCTTTTTAAAATATTTCCCAAATGATGTTTAAGAGAGCGAGGAAATTTTCACAGTATGTCAGATAATATTTTTTCTTCTGGAGAAAGTCTTGTTTGTTTTATGTCGGCCAGAATAAAAGCAGTTTTTAATTTTTTTAAAACCATTTGAAGGTCAAAATTATTAGCCCCTTTAAGCTATATTTTTTCTCGATAGTCTACAGAACAAACCACTGTTATACAATGACTTGCCTAATTACCCCAACTTAATTAGTTAAGCCTTTAAATGTCACTAAGCTGTATAGAAGTGTCTTGAAAAATATCCAGTCAAATATTTTTTACTGTCATCATGGCAAAGATTGGGGGATAGGGCTAATAATTCTGTTTATATGCATGGGTACTGCATGTATGTGCATATATATTTTTTCCCATTTAGTTTTTACCAGTTGTTCATAAAAATTATGTAAAAAAATAAACATACATGATTCCTTAATCAATAACTGCTATTTGACATTGTTTACATACATTAATGAGGGTCAAATAAGCCTCTTTCTCTGCTCATCTGTATTGTCGCTTATTTATGGGCGGTCTTTTTTCACGCCACGCAGTTTCTCAGTGGACAGCATTTCTCTCTCTCTCTCTCTCTCTCTCTCTCTCTCTCTGTGGGCAGAATGTCTCATGGAGGAGTTTTGGATGCGTCTGTGAACATCCACAGGTAGTTGCACAGTCTGCTTTTAGCGCTATCACTTTTGCATGTAATTCCTCGCGAGCGCTTTTGGACACGAGAGTCTTCTGCCTTCATATCTGTTTTAATTGTTGCATGCGCGTTATTGTAAACACATCGGCATACGGCAGCGATGCGCGTTTATAAACCTTTGCGAATGCATTTTACGTAAGTTTCCGCTTTATTTATTTATTTTTCTTTGCTTGGGAAATCGCGCATGGATTGTGTTGCAAGTTTGTGAATGTGAAGGCAACGGCGGAATACAATGGCAAGCGATTTGAAGCCTCGCTTGTGCGTAATGAAGAAAGGAGAGAACGGCTATGGGTTTCATCTGCACGGAGAGAAAGGAAAAACCGGACAGTACATACGGAAAGTGGAACGCGCGTCCCCGGCGGAGGCGTCGGGACTGCGCGCGGGTGACCGTGTGGTGGAGGTGAACGGCGAGAACGTGGAGAGAGAGACACACCATCAGGTACATCAACACACACACACACACACACACCTGAGCTGCTGGTCTCAAATATTCAGCACACATTATACTGGATCCTAATGCAGGATCGTATTATTATGCATTTTATTGCTTATAACAACAACATGTGTGTTAAAACAAGTGCTTGAAGATAATTAGATTAGGATGTATCTCCATATGGAAGCAGAAAGAGCTTTATTGCCACTGCCAGGTAAGATTTTACATACAAGGAGTTTGCTTTTGTGACAGAAGAGTGTATCAAAATGGCAGTGACAGGACAAAAACACTGATAATAAAGGAATTAAATAAGTAAATAGAGAAAACAAATGCATATTACATTAGGCAATAATGTGTGTAAAGCTATATTATGTGCAAATTGACATGTAAACTGAGTATGTTGTTAAATAAATGTGTACATATGTCGGTAAATAGTTTTGTTCCATTCTACAGGGTGTCCGTGGGGGTCTTAAAATGTCTCAAAATCCAAACTTTTAGGCCCTAAATTCACTGAAACATTGTATTGTAAGTCCTAAATCATGTTAAACAGGTCTTAATTTTCCTGTATTCATGTAAACCTGCCCAATCAGACCAACATCCTTCAATCCTTCCATCTCAATAAAAGTTTTAACAAAAGTTTATTTAAAAGGCACCTATTTTACCCCTTTTTCAAGATTTAAGAGAAGTCTTTTGTGTCTCCAGAGTCTGTCTGTAACGTTTCAGCTCAAAACACTTCTGATTATTTATGAGACCTTTCAGACTATTGGGACTGTCCGCTCTGAACACTATGTAGTAGGGTTGGGCCGATAGATGATGCCGTTGTCCATCGCTGATGGCCAATAGACAACACGATTGCCCTCGTCGCAAATCCGCTCGCGATAAACACACACTTAGGCCCTGTTTACATTAATACGTCTTAGTGTTAAAATGGCATTTTAGAACGAAAATGATCCACATCCACACCGTGTTTTACCCAGCATTTCTGAACAGCCCTCCGTCCGCTGAAAACACACACAGACAGCCACACACACACACACACTATCATGCGCTCGTTTGAGCTTCAGTGAGCAGAGCATGTCAGACAGTTTATGAAGGATGTACCGCTGGATTGCGTCTCACTGTAGTTGTTAAACGTGATATTTAGACATCCCAAGTCTCCCGGAAGTTCCGGGAGTCTCCCACAACTGCTTTGAGACTCTCGGATCCCTCCTCGCTCTTCACACACATCGCGCACACTCTGTCAAACTCCGTCTCTGTCCCCAAACCCCAACCCCCCGCTTTTCACAAACATATATAACCGGACAACCCTACCCCCCCGATGATGCCATTACGATGGCAAATTGTCAGTGTCCTCATCTCTGGCTTTGTCAGATAAACAGCACAGTTACAGATATGAAGGAAGCAGACCTCACGTAAGGTTTGTGAGAAACACTACAGTAAGAACTTTCCCAATGATTATTTGATGTATTTGTTGTGGAGTTAATTCAAGCCTTTCTGCAACAACGAGTCACACACAGTGTCCTTACAAAGTTCACACACAAACACACACACACACACAGCTCACGCGTTTAACTTTGCTCTGTTTTTGCACGCAAATGTGACAGGATACATGCTAATATCCACTGCTGTATAGCTGATATCCGTTATGTTAATGTACAAAATAAAGCTTATTTAACGTCCACAAACCGGGATTGAAGCGCCTTCTTTTACAATTGTACTGAAATGCGGCTGCGGTGATGAATTAATGCGATTTTACCATCTTTAACCTACTTTATTACAAACATGCACTGTTTTAAAAACGTTTTAAACTTGTAAAACTCATTCTTTATCATATTTGATGATGACTGATGATCACAGAGAGCTGAACAGATCTTTTAATCCCAGTTGCTTTGCGCACGTCCTGTCTTGTTGATATGATTATACGCATTACTATGGATGTTAATTCACGGCTGCCAGTCAATTCTGTGGACAAGGAAACCTCACTCCTTTGTCATGTTGTGGTCGGCCTCAAAATGGAGGGAATTTGGATCCTATTTTAGCGTCAGGAAATTAAAAAATAGAGGCTTATTGTCTTTATATCACCCCAATATGACAGTGAACACACAATACCTACACACAGTTCTGTCCAAAAGATGATTTTCATCATAGGTGCCCTTTAATAACTCTTGTTTATTAATTATATTTACTAAATCTATATTTATTAACACATGGTTTAATTATCTTCCTTACAGTAACATTTGTTTTCATGTTTTTTTTAATGTTTTAACTGGGCCATTAGAAAACATCCTTAACATTCAGCCTTGTGTAAGTCTGACGTTTTATTCATAATGGTCCTAAAAAGGTCTTAAGTTTGACTTTATGAAACCCGTAGAAACCCTGTTCTGTATAATGTCTTTTTAAACACTACAAACCTTAGCTATTATATGGTTATTTATTTAGCAAATATAGTTATTGAACTAGTTATAATTTGCAACAGAATAAGAATGGGCTAGAATAATTTACATTGAATTGATGTCAATAGTGACAGAAATGACATATAAAATGTTGCAAAACTTCACTATTTAAATTTAATATTGGTATTTTGAACTTTAAATCACTAAAAATAATGTTTCCACACACATTTTAAGTAGCACAACTGTTTCAACATTTAGAATAATCGTTTATGGAGCGGCAAATCAACATATTAGAGTAATTTCGGAGTAATTATGCTGAAAACAGCCCTGTTCCACATGAATATACAGTGCAGTTATGTTACAAATATTTCACAGTTAATTCAAATCAAAGAGGACATTTTAAATTATGCTAATAATTCACGTTATTCACATTATTTTTACTATATTTTGAAGCACTTACCGATGTAGGGGACTTTAGAGATCTTTAATTGAATTTTGGGCTTCATTTTTATAGCGCTTTTACAATGTAGATTGCGTCAAAGCAGCTTAACATAGACGTCCTAGTAAACTGAAGTCCAGTTTTTAGAGTTGTAGTTCAGTTTATTTCAGTTTAGTGTGGTTTGATTTTCACTGTTAAAAGTCCAAACACTGAAGAGTAAATCCATCGATGCGCAGCTCCACAAGTCCCAAACCAAGCAAGCCACTGGTGAGGAACAAAACTTCACCAATTGACAAAAGTGAAGGAAAAATAAACCTTGAGAGAAACCAGGCTCAGTTGGGCATGACCATTTCTCCTCTGGTAAAAACATTTCTTTAAAGATCTTAAAAAATAGTTGATCTATCATTTGTTTTGTATACAAAAGAAACAATTTTCCATGTTGCATCTTGTGAATACACTCAAAAAATGACGTTTGCTGTTTGTTCAAACTACTTATTTAAAATGAGTTTTTTACCAAAACTTAATTGTTTTAGGGGCGGCATGGTGGCTCAGTGGTTAGAACCTAGCCTCTTAGCAAGAAGGTCACTGGTTCAATACTTTTACAATGTAGATTGTGTCAAAGCAGCTTCACATAAAAGATCATAGTAAATGTAAACTGTAGTTCAGTTTTCAGAGTTAAAGTTCAGTTCAGTTTTGCTCAGTTCAGTGTGTTTTAATAATCACTACTGAGAGTCCAAACACTGAAGAGATCATCGATGCGCAGCTCTACAGATTCTGAACCATGGAAGCTAGTGGCGACAGCGGCGAGGAAAAAACTTCTCCAATTGGCGAAAGTGAAGAAAATTAACTTAATTGTTTTATGTTTAATCCACCTAAATTTATACAAACTCATGAACTTAATTTCTTCCTGTTTTCCCATCACAAGTCGATTATGTGGAACCCAGCATTTTTACAGTTTACCATATTATGCAAAACTGGAATTTAGACCCCCCAAAAACTCATCTTTTATAGAGTTGACTTTATATTTTGTCCACTTCATCAATGCCACAGTGATCTCTGCTATTCTCAGTGTGTAAAAGCAGTCATGATGATAGTCATGATAATGTGTCAGCATGTCCACATTTCTGACTAATAGCGTGTATATATATCGCAGGGCTGTGTAAACACCAGCGAGTGTCTATGAAACATTTGACATCCGTTTATTTGACTTAAGAAGCTTTTGGCACCCGAAGCAACTTTGAATGGGAAATAAAGAGCCCTGCTTTTTAGAAACCTGTGGGGAAACACTGACTGAAGTGCGAAACCTTCTTGCGAATGGACAATCAAATACCACACGTTTCTTTAGTTGCACTGCCACTAATAGAGTATTAAAGACTCCATCAGACAATATGATCTGATATTTTAGTTTTGATGGGTAAATCAAATAATCACTGGATATGAGCTATAATGGCTCATCATATAGTTTATATTTATTTATTTCAATTCATTTAACATTAATACACTAAAATCATATAAGTACATAAAATGCAGTTTACATATTCAGTATTACAGAAGTTAGATATGTTAAAAATTAGGAGTCCATCTAATATTTATCGGCTGATATCTGGAAGGTTTATGGCATGCACCATGGCTTAATCACTGGGCCAAACATTTGTATTATTCATTCATTCATTCATTCATTCATTCATTTTCTTGTCGGCTTAGTCCCTTTATTAATCCGGGGTCACCACAGCGGAATGAACCTCCAACTTATCCAGCACGTTTTTACGCAGCGGATGCCCTTCCAGCCGCAACCCATCTCTGGGAAATAAAAATGTTATTAGTTTGAGTTTAATAAATAACAACCGAACTGGCCGTATTTGTTAAATGCTTTTGTTGTAACTAAGCTGGATGATAAATGGATCCGATTAATGTTCAGTTAAACTAATTTAAGCAAGCTAATACCATATGCAATTGACCAATGTTGGTGTAACATGGGGAGTGACACAGACAGCTGTAGTAGGATCCACATGCAGATTTATTCAAAGTCAGGCAAGCAATGGTCAACACAGGTGCAAACAGATGTATAAAGGAAGTTCAGAATCATTGTCAAAGGATCAGGCGAGAGGTCAGAAGGCAGGCGGCAGACAGGGAAAACTTGGAAGCAAGGCTAAAGTAAACACACGGGAAAACAAGACTAAAGAAACGCGTTGAATTGTCACCTTACAGATAAACAAGACTCGGCAATGGTGAGTGAGTGAGTGAGTGTGCTGCTTAAATAGTGTGTGCAATCAGTCTCTGACAATCCTCAGATGGTGCGAGTGTAATCAGTCTAGATGTATGAAAATGTAGTCCGGAAATGGTGGATTTGTAGTCCATAGTGTTTGGGGATGATTGGGAGGCCATGATGGGTAAGGGCTGATGGAGAGAACTCGGCCAGGACACCAGGGTGACACCCCTACTCTTTACAAGAAGTGCCATGGGATTTTTAACGACCACAGAGAGTCAGGACCTCAGTGTAACGTCTCATTTGAAAGACGGCGCTCACTGACAGTATAGAGTCCCTTTCACTTTATTAGGGCAATGGGACGCACACAAACTGCAGGTTGAGTCTGGCCCTGCTGGCCTCTCTAACACCATTTCCAACAGTAACCTAGTTTTCCCATGTGGTCTTGCATCCAGGCTCAGCCCTGCTTAGCTTCAGTGAATAACTGCTCTTGGGCCGCAGGGTGATATGGCTGTGCATGGTTGTTGCTAGGCCTATTTTACGGGGGCTGTAGCCCCCCTATATTTCTACTCAGCCCCCCTTAAAGTTTTGCGATTAGCTCATGCACTATACACCAAATTATCGCCTCAGTCCCCTTTAAATTTGAAATGAAAACGGCGGCAGAATTTGGCTCCTCCCCATATTTTGTTTTTCATTTGATCAGCAAATCACAGCTGTGGACATCGAGAGAACGAGGTGTATTTATTGATAAATTGTTATAATATCTGCTTATCTGCAGTTCTTTGATATAGACAACCTTGTATGGCCTGTATCCCAATGTCATGGAGGAGCAGTGGGGTTTTCTCTGCTTTCATCTCCAGAAAGGATTAAACACAGTGACAGAAGCACTGAGAGAATGTACTCGTTTTAACTGTCACTGGGTCACTGACAGAGACAGAAACATCAAGTGTTGTCTAGTATTAAAAACATACTTCTTATTTATTATTATCATTCAGATCGTGAAATATGTGAATTTTGTGATTTGTAATTCGTGAAATGTGATTTTAAGACATTGATTTTAACATATAAAGCGGTTCATGGTTCGGCTCCAGTCTACGCTCTGCTTTGAGTCTTACGCCTGTTTCACACCGCAAGCGTCAGCGGCGCGTGAGCAGCGCGTGTGTTTTCGGCGTCCATGTTAACAGATTAGAGCTTTCATACCGCACGCAGCAGCAGCGCGTCAGAGCGAGGCGTGAGCGTCGCCGAAGCAGCAGTGCAGCGATAGTTTCGGCGCTGGGTCTATTTTTGACGCGCTGCTCACGCTCAATTAAAGTGACAGTGCATTGATAATGACCAAAACACATTGAATGACAATAAAAACTAACAATTTCACCCAATAAATGCGTTAATAATGTCAAATGGTTTATATATAGTCATTCAAATGAACTTAAAACGATTAAAAACGGCAACAAACATTTATTTAGGCCCGAACTACAAAACCAAATGTAAAACTATTTTACTATCAGTTTTGCTTAAGTTGCACACTAGTGTTGTAGGAGAGGGGAAACAGAATATTTACTGGATTTGTAGTCCATAGCGAAGTGTATTGTGGGTAGTGTAGTGCGACACGCATGCTGGATTATGTGAGCTCGCTGTGTTCTGTGCAGCTAGCAGAGCAAGAAAGTTTTCAATCGGCTTTGTTTTATGTTCACTCGAATTATTCCTACCGGGAGCTGTTTGCACTGTGAATCTGACAACACGAAAATAAGTAAAAGAATGGCATGCATTAATTACTTTTGTCCGTCTCATCATCTGCACGAGCATGAATTAACGAGCTGTTATTCTGCCGCTGGACATCACTGAAGCGGAGAAAGTAATACTAGTTTGATCATGTATAAATATCATTATAACTATATTGTATAAATATGATTATAACTAGGTCTACAGCAACCTGATAATCAAAAAACAAATGACATGATATCACAGGCGATTGTCTTCTGACTGTAGACAATTCTCATATAAGTTAGCTTTAGAAGCATACAGTACTATTTGATCTATAAAATTTGTAAAATAAACATTTGCAGGTTAATGAAACAGCATAGGAGGGGCCTTGGTACAGATGAAAAGTTTAAAAAGTGTATTTGTATATAGAGGGGTAACTAGATAGAATAGACAGAGATAGGTTGATCTCAGCAGCAGCTGCCGAAGAGCTGCGCGCTGCAGACGCAGCTGGTGTGAAAGGCAAACGCCTGCGTGCTGCTACTGCTCGACATACGCGCTGCTCACGCTCTGCTCACGCGCCGCTGACGCTTGCGGTGTGAAACAGGCGTTACGCTGTTTCAGCCTCGCTGCAAACTCAGCACCATGGGAGGTAGGGCATTCTCTTTCCGTGCTCCCAAACTGTGGAATGCTCTTCCCACTAACATTAGGAGTGCCGGATCATTTGATGCTTTTAAAAAGCTACTTAAAACTCATCTTTTTAGGTCTGTTTTTAATTTGTGATATCTTTTATTCTTACTGTGTTTTTTATTGCATTTTTTTAATTGTTTACTTGCTTTGTTGTTTTTACTTTCTTGTAAGCGCTTTGGGTTTTAGAAAAGCATGTTATAAATAAAATGTATTATTATTATTATTATTATTATTATTATTATTATTATTATTATTATTATTATTATTATAACTATTATTATTATTATTATTATTATTATTATTATTATTATTATTATTATTATTATTATTATTATTAATTAGCCTGTAAGTTTAAAAATATATATTTATAAATGTGTCATTTAATTAGAAAAGTGGCAGTTTACTTATTTAATACATGGAAACAAAAAATGAATATAGAAGGGTTTTTTTACTACAGCAAACAGGGGGGTTGAGCCTATTTGGCATATTCAGAACTCAAATGGTTACTGTATGTCTGTCTATGTAATACAGTGGAGTACTAGCATACAAAAACACATTTCTACTCATTTATTCATTTTCTTTTGAGCTTTGTCCCTTTATTAATCTGGGGACAGTGGAATGAACCGCCAACTTATCCAGCATATGTTTTACGCAGTGGATGCCCTTCCAGCTGAAACCCATCACTGGGAAACACATTTCTACTTTAAAGAGGAAAAAAAAATACAAAAGAAAAATACCAAACAAGTTCATAACATAGTTGATCAAGAGTGCCTTTCAGACAGAGGTTCAGCAGCATTTGTTCTTTTTAAAAGGGAAATACTTAGCTAATATGATGCTTAGATTTACATTAGACAAATACAGTTTTTTAAAACGTATTGTTATTTATTTATTTATTATAAATAAATACATTTATTTTTTTATTTATGTATTTATTTATTTTTTATTAATTAATAATTATTAAATTTATTCATTTATTTATGTTTTTATAAATAAATAAATTTATTTATAAATACATTTATTAATTAATTTATGTATTTATTTATTTTTTATTAATTAATTATTACAATTAATTATTTATTTATTTATTTATTATGTATTTATGTATGTATGTATGTATGTATGTTTGTATTTAGTTATTAATAAATTTATTTATTTATTTATTTATTCATTCATTCATTTATTAATTTATTGTTCTGTCATTTGTTTTCAGTGTAAAATTATTACTTATTACCAGGGGCAGACAGAATCTGCGGACGTTTTTTGCTATTTCTGGAGAGAATTTTGGTAAAAATCTGCAGATTTCTGCTGAATTATTTTGGGAGTATCCAGCGGAGTATCATAACTAAAGCCTTAATATATGAAAGTTATATATATGAAAATAAAAAGTAATAATTTACTGAACAAAAACCGAATAAATTTAGATTTACACATTTACTCAAGTAAATAAACAGAATTTATGATGGGCTAGAAATCTGCGGAATTCTGCACGCGCAGATTCTGTGTGGGGCTACTTAATACTAACAACTAGTGTTTGAAATTAATAAATGTATAATCTAGACAACTGTGATTATTCCTCAGACTATAAATGTACAATCAAAAACTGTAATCGTTGCATCCCTATAATACACTTTAGTATGGTTCAAAAACACTTTACTATTAAATAATATAGTATTTCTTAATGTGGGGACCCATAAGCAGTTTTTCTAAATGTGCATTTCTCTTGTCTTCAGGTGGTGCAGCGGATTAAAGCTGTGGAACATGAGACCAGACTGCTGGTGGTTGACAGAGAGACTGATGAGTATTTCCGCAGTCTTCGTCTCACCTGCACTGAGGAAATGGCCATCCGCACGAGCCCTACAGCCACGACCCCTTTACCCTCACCCTCCACCAGTAAACAGGGCAATGGATCAGTGTCCAAACGGAGCGAGATTTCCAAACCCATCAGGAAACCTCCGTCACGAGCTCTCAAGAAGGTGCGGAATCCTCTACATACACTCTTAGAAAGATGATAAAGATTCTATTTTGGAATCCATGTTCCAAATCTTTCATTCCATTTCCATTCTTTGGAGTTTTAAAAATGTTCTTTACAGAATGTACTTTTCGCTGAAAGTTCTTTGGACAACCAAGGATGGTTCTTCTATGACTATAGCTATGTTTTCATTCACCTTATTTTTATGCACATCAGTTAAGGTTAAGGTTAGGGCTGGGGTTAGGACATACATTTTGAAAATACGCTCAAAACACTAATGCTCTTTAATGAGTAGGAAACTTTTTACTCAATATAAATAAAATAGCAAGTCATTTATTCTATAAGGAAAAAAGTCTTCAGTGGCTTCTAATATATCACAGCAAATTCCGTTTTTCTTTTTGATATTTACCGCCACTTTATCAGGTAATTATGATTTAGTTCACTTTGAGTCACTGGATGTAAACTGTGTTAAATTTGCAAATGATTTACTTGATGTTCCAGTTTGGGCACAAGTTTAATTCACATCTTTAGATGGAAACATAGCTAATGTTATGTAAACATGCTTTTGGAACATCATTAAAGTGGTCTGTTTTGCCGTCGTCTGATATTAGCTTTCAAGTAGTGTGTAATGTAGCTGTTTTTCTATATGAAGAAGCAATTCTGAACTGCTGAAATGAGTCCTCAGCAACACACATATGTAGATTTTTATAGTTTTGCATAAAGCCAGTCGTCATAAAGTTGGTGAATGTCCCTTAAACTCTGCAGCTGTAGATGATGTCTGGAAGAGTTTAGTTTGTCTTGTGTTGAGAAGGATGCTGTTTTCTGTGCCTGCATCACATCTAAATGATAGGGATTTGATTTGGTTGATATGGTAAAACCAACACCATCATTACTGTTTGTAAAACTGTTTGTAAAACTTTACTCATGCCAAAATTAAAAGTCTTTTGAAGCAGTGGTTCATAACCTGTTTTTGCCTGAGACCCCCTTTTTCCCCCTGAAAATATTGAAAGCCCCTCTCCACATTTAATGATATAATCACTCATATAAGTTTGCAGTAATGATGATAAAAATGTTGTTTTCAAACAAATGGTATGTTTATTACTATATCTAGATATTTTTATGCATTAAGATTAGCCTAATGTTTTCCCAGTGAAGGGTTGCAGCTGGAAGGGCATCCGCTGCGTAAAACATGTGCTGGATAAGTTGGCGGTTCATTCCGCTGTGGCGACCCCGAATTAATAAAGGAACTGAGCTAAAAAGAAAATAAATAAAAGGATGAATGAATAATAGACTAATGTAAAATATAAAAGCAAAACATCGGTATCACCACGCACCGGTCAACGCTTGACAATTTTACTGCGTGGGGTTGGGAGTGTTTCGTAGGTTGCTATGCGACCACCAACCGTTTTCTTAGAGGATTACAAATTTTCTAAAGACGCCTGTTTCTTACTCATTTTGCTGCTTGTGGGTTAAATTTGGGCGCTCAAGTGACCAAGACGAGAGTACGGTCCTTTTTCAAAATAAAAGATCATTCAGACTCGGATAATAAATAAAACGAAAATAATTAATGTTTTCTTGTGTGGCGCGATACCAATTGATCTAGGACCGATGGTTAAGGACCACTGAGCTAGGGGATAAAATGAACTAAGGCAACATGATCAATGTCCTAATTGTCCACTGCTAAGATTTTTTTTAAAAATGACGCGACCCCCCACAAAGCTCGCTGAGGCCCCCTTGTGGGCCGCAACCACCCTGTTGGGAACCGCTGCTTTAAAGGAATAGTTCACCTAAAGATTGAAATTCTGGCATCATTTACATGTCCTCTAACTTGTTCTTGAGTTTCTTTATGTTTTTAGCACAAAATAAGTTATACCAAAAAATGTTGGAGAAAAAAAACTTTGACATGATTTTTTTCATAGTATCATCTTAAGGATATCAATGGCTGCTTTCCCCCAACATTCTTCAGTGTTGGAAAACTTCTACATTATTTTTTTGCTTCTACTATGGATCTTAATTCCTTCAGACAGAAAAATAACATAATAAAAGAAATTCATAAAAGTTTAGAATGACTTAAAGGGGTGGTCCAGAGTGTATTTTTAAGGCTTGGTTGTGTTAATAAGATGCAAAGCAATGTGAGCTCATGCTTCACTTGTAGAAAATCATGTTATTTTTCATATAACTTTCCTCGTTTATATACATCTACTCTGCTAACATGAAAACCACTGTCATATTTCCTAGTTCCTCCGAAAGCCCGCCCTCAAGAAGTTCTGATTGGTCAGCTAACATAATGTGCTGTGATTTGCAGATCAGCTTCACCTCACCAGGAAAAGCTTCACACCTCTACTAGCACGTGCTTTGCCTCTGCTGTGTAAATACTGTCAGTCAGAGTAGCTGTTAGCCGTATCAGTTTGAGCCTGAATCAGACAGAAAATGAAGAGCACACATGTCTGCTCTCTAAAATAACATCCGACAAGTGTCTTGCACATATATTTAGAATAAAGATGTGTAAGTAATATGAAACATTCACATATCTTTTGCGTTTGTTATTTGAGATGTAGAACACAGAGAAAGCGTCCGCATAAAGAGACATTGCAGCGCTGCTGAAGAATGTGAGTGTTTACAGTGGTTTTACAGATAAATATGAATTTGTAGCTAAATTGTTAGCGGTGCCAAACAGCATTTCCCATTGTTTACATCCTCTCTGCAACACACTGTTAAAGCTGGAAACTGTGCATGGCATAGATCAATTTTAACAAATATAAACACTCACAGGTTGTGGCTCACCATCCACAGCTTCGTCTATTATGGTTGGACGAGATTTTAGTCAAATCCAGCACTGAACTGGGAGACTTTCTGGAAGTTTTCCTTTGTCAAATGCTAGCTATATATTAGTTACAATTTTCTGGAACATAACTAAAATTAAACTGTAAGCACTTCTTTTTTTGTGTCTTGTCCTTTGGAAGCCCAAATACAGAAACAGAAGAAGCTCTGTGGAAATAGCAAAGTTTGGACGGCATTTTAGCTTTCTCTGCTATAACATTACAGCTCCTCAGGCCACGCTCCGCAGCTACTTGGGGTGAATACGCGTAACCTGCAGCGTTTGTGATCTCGTTTACCCGGATGTATTTTTTTGTAGTCTCCAAACTTCATTCGCTGTAGGCTTCGCTAAGATAACTCCGTAAAAGCCTATGTCTTTCTTTGCATTGAACTTTAAGTGTATTACATTCAGAGATGTTGTTTATGTTCACACAACAACTAAAGTTTAAAATATGATATCCTAGTGGACCGACCCCTTTAAGTGTGAGTAAATGATGAAGAAATATGCTTTTCTGACTGAACTATCCCTTTAACCTTGTGTTGGTGCTCCTTCTTTTCCAAAAAGAGAGCAGTTAAACATTTGTTGTGACATCATCCGAGACGGTTCATTACAATGTCATCAGTGTTTTTTGGAGATAGCATGTTTGTACTAATAAGACATCCTGCCAAAGTTCTGAATGAATGGGTTAATTGGTTGAGTTCATAACAATAATGAGTTCAGTGACTTTGTTTGTAACTCAGATATTATCTTATTGGCTCTGTCATGGTTGGTCGGTGTCCAAGATGTGACTGTAATTGTTTTTCAGTAAGCGTGATGCTCTCTGTGAGCCTCTCCAGTACACTGACCGCATTTTTCATTGGCCTGTTTATTCAGGAAAATGGATTTTGGCTTTGCAAAATGAATAACCGATTCTGTCCGGGAATTTCTTTAATAATTATCCCGCTTCTGCTCTCCAAGACCTATCTCTAATGCTTCATGTTGTCTTATATAGATTTCTAGGGCAGTGGTTCTCATCTCCAGGCCCGAGGCCCCACAGCTCTGCACTTTTTGTATGTTTTCCTTATTTAAAGGCTGGTTCAAATCACAGACTTGTTAAGCTCGGCACACTCTGTGCAATTTTTCGTAATCCTTTTGATAATGTCAGACTGAACAGGGAGAAGAGGGACTCCTGGTTTTCTTCACAGGGGTTCAGGTGATTTTGGAAGAGGTGGGTTTTTAGTTGCCATTTGAATGATCCCAGTAAATGAGCAGTCCGTGTGGGAATGGGAAGATCATCCTCCAAGATGATCCAATGGGAAGATCAAACTCACCCAGAGTTTAATGCCATTTATCTGTGACACTTTCATCGTCTCACATTCTCAAATTATACACCTCATGGCAAACAAATCATACAAATCACACCTCATGACAAACAAATCATACAAATCACACCTCATGACAAACAGATCATGCAAATCATACCTCATGGCAAACAAAAACCTGGTTTGACATTTCACTAGTTTGAAGTTTTTGTTGTAAGTTTGAACGGTGTTTAGTACATAGGGTGGTCTTTGTGTTTGCTACAGTGTTCTGTATGACTGCTAGGATGTTCTAGGTAGAGTGTTTTGGATGGCTAGGGTGTTCTCTGTGTTTGCTAGGATGGATGTTCTGGGTGGCTACTCGTGTGTTGCCAGTGTTTTCTAGAAAAGATGTTCTAAATTGCTACTAGGGTGCTCTGGATATTTGCTAGATAGGGTGTTCTGGATGTTACCTAGGTAGGGTGTTCTGGATTGCTACTAGGGTGTTCTAGATGTTTGCTAGGGAGGGTGTTCTGGATTGCTACTAGGGTGTTCTAGATGTTTGCTAGGGAGGGTGTTCTGGATTGCTACTAGGGTGTTCTAGATGTTTGCTAGGGAGGGTGTTCTGGACTGCTACTAGTGAACTTCCAGAAGACCCCAGTAGCCATTTAGAAAATCTTTTCTAGATAGCACTGGGAACACACTAATAACAAATTAGAGCAATATACCTTGCAAACATCTAGAACACCCTAGTAGCAATCCAGAACACCCTACTTGGGAAACATCCAGAACACCCCAGTAGCCATTTAGAACATCTTTTCTAGAAAACAATGGGAACACAGTAAAAACAATCCAAAATGTTCTACCTAGCAAACATCTACAACACCCCTGTAGCCATCCAGAACACAC